CCTGGGGCCCCTAGGGGCCCCCTGACGGAGGGTATAGATGAAGCTGGAGGGTCTCCGAGGCCCCCCAAGAGAGAAGTTGAAGATGAGGTGCCCTTGGGGCCCCCCATGCTGAGCCAAGGAGGAGGAGAGGGGCCCCCCCCTTCGTTCCCTTCTGGTGTCTCCGAAGACACAAGAATAAATCCAGGTAGGAGCAGGGAAGAGGCATATAAGGAAGAAAAGGAGACAGGGGGTACAGGCGGGGAGACAGGAGAAGCAGCAAGAAAGGAGACAGACAGAGGAGGGGTGCAGCAAGATAGTATACACCATACAGCAAGACAGCAGCAGCAAGGGACTATTCCTGCTGCAGCAGTGGAGACACTTAAGCAAGCACAACCAGATGGAGCAGCAACAGCAGAAGTACCAGCAGCAGCAGCAGCAGCAGCAGCAGATACTACTATGCCATGGTATAAGACAGTAGCAGGTATTGGTCTTATCTTAATATCCACGGCATTATTATTGTTGTTTTGTTTCCGTTGTTACATGAAGAGGAGGGAGCAGGGAGTAGGGGGCCCCCTAGGTGGGGGGCCCCCCAATAGTACCCTTGGGGCCCCCGGACAAGGGGTACAGCAGCAGCAACAAGGTATTAAGGAAGAAAATAAAGGAAAAAGGCCTTCTTCTGCTGCTTACTCCCATCTATCTGATCAACATAATGTAAGAGATCCAGAGAATGGCCATTGGTGGGATCAAGAAGAAGAAGAAGAAACTAACGCATTCGGACCCTCTTAAATTCAAGCCCCAAAAATGCATGCGTGCATGCATGCATGCACGCATTTATGTATGTATGCATGCATTTATGTATGGATGCATGCATGCAAACATGAATTTTTTGTTGCATGCATATTGCATGCATGTTTGTTTAGACATGCATGCATGCATATTTTGTGCATATTTGCATGCATATTGAATGCATATTTGCACGCATGCATGCATGCATGCATGCATATTTGCATGCATATTGCATACATGTTTGCACGCATGAATGCATATTCCCTTACATGCATCCATGCATGCATACATGCATATATAATGCATAGGAGGCTCTTATATTTAAGAGGCCGTGCTTGCATGCATGCATGCATGCACGCATGCATGCGCGTTGGACAGCAACGTAGTAGTAGTGCCTGTTTCCTCTGTCCCCTCCTGCCTGCTGTAGAGCAGTTGTATAGACAGAGGCATTAACATGTGTCACGTACAACATATTCATAGTATGCATGCATGCATGCATACATGCATGCATGCATACGCATTTATGCATGCTTTCTTTTTTATGCGTGCTTACATGCACGCATAAGTGTTCGTTAAATTGATGCATGCACGCATATGCATGCGTTCTGCAGTGCATGCACTCTGTATTGGCCTTTTCTGCTGCTTCGCATGCATGCGTGCATGCGTGCATGCATGCATGCATGCATGCGTATGCCTGCATGCATTCTGCATGCATTTATTTGCATGCATACGCATGCACTGCATGCATGCCCTTAGATGGCCTCTAAAGGATTTATCTGTTATTATTTCCTTATATGCACTAATAAATATAAATAATATATATATTTGTTTATCTCTTATTAACACATATACATTATATATAGTATATATATACTATATATACTATATATATAGTATAATAAGTAGAGGAAGGAAGGAAGGAAAGAAAGAAAGAAAGAAAGAGAAGAAAAGTTACTATGTTGTATCTAGGGTTTCGGGTTCTGCTGCTACATCTCTCCTTTCCTGCATGCATGCATGCGTGTATGCGTGCATGCATGCATGCATGCGTGTATGGCATATTAAGGTAAGGGATTTAATAGGAGTTGGGTGTGGGGCCCCACACCCCCCAAGGCAAATGCAAGACAACCTGCTGCTGTTTGCATGCGGGGCTGCAGCAAACAGCCCCAACAACTTAATTATTTTCTCTGCATGCATGCAAAAAATGCATGCATGCAAAAAATGCATGCACGGCCGCATGCATGCAGAGAATATATGCAAGATGTGTGTTAAGGACATGCATGCATACATGCATGCATGCATGTGCTTAACACACATATTGGGGACACTGCATACATGCATGCATGCACGTGTGCCTGCATGCATGCATGCATTGCAAGGAAGTTAATTGCGGTGTGTAAAAGTGGCAACTTTGCCGTTGCATGCAGCCCCAAGAGTTGCACAGCTGCATAGGGGTTTATCTATGATTTATTTATATTTATTAATATACTTGTGTATAAATTAATATTAACTAATATATTTATGTATATATTTATATACATAAGAAAGGATAAATATGTGTTTGTTTATTTTTTGTCTACATTGTGGGGCTTGCATGCATGCATGCATTAATAATATTATAATTTACTACTGATTACCTCAGTAGTTTATATTTATGCATGCATATACAATAATTATATTGTTTATATATATAATATATATATATTATATATATATTATATATATTATATATAATTAT